AATTCTCGGCACCACCCACACTCCTGGCAACATAATAAGATTTGGAGACTCGTGCGGTTGGCGACATCGACCCCGCCATTTTTCTGTGCACACGACCATTCCTGTACTTCCTCTACCATCTTTATGCCATAGCTAGGGGTGCCTTTCGATCTACAGCAGAACATCTGAAGGAGGAGTAGATCCGGCTCTGAAGAGCAATTGTTGTATTTTGTTGAAAAGCTTCCCTCGCCAGCTCTCTACGATAACGCCTGTTAATGGTTGGATAATTAACGCGGAGGCATCGAAGAATTCGTGGCATCCACCTTTCTAACTACCAGCACTCCTAGACACAGATCGTACGAAAGCCGGGAGCTATGGGAATTTGGGCTATACACGGGCGGTGAGGCTGCTCTTGCCACCTGCAGCCCAAACGTATACATATACACAGATTGTTTTCGTATTATGTAGCTTACCGTGATTTTATATGGCTTACGACTCTATAGCCTCATGCGCATTTGACAAGCTTCCCCCTCCAAAAGTACTAAAACTGAGCCATTTCCTTATCAAAATGATCGGTTTACTGTCTCTAGCCGAAATCGTTGTAAGCAATAATGTTCGTCTTATTTCTGATTGCTAGTTAACTGACCTGTTGCATTGGTAATGTGGTGGTCTAATTTTCATTCACTATGAATGGGGTCGTAGGTGTACCGCCATGTTCAATATTTCTCAAACGTAACTTGTAACAATTTTTTCATACACACGTAGTTCACACACGTTATTTAAATTATAGTTCACCTTTCATTTTCGATGAGATGATCATTTGCCTGAGTATTTGGAGCATTAACAGAAATGCTTGTCGCTGGTTCTGTTCTATTGGGGGCATTTCCATTCTTGATACCACCTTATGGCGCAGTTATATTGGAACAGCTTAAACACATCGTACCCGTAGTCGCAACTAACAGTATTCTATTAAGTGTATTAATTCTACAAAAATGTTAAATAATAAACATTAAATATATACATATGTATATATATATATATATATATATAATATTAAGTCTACTAAAACCACTATCCCAGCCTATCATCATTACAGCCGTCTCTGCCGCTATTTCGATTTCCGGTTGATGTCCGTTTTGTCAGTGCCGATAATGGTCGAAAAGCTCGTATCAGAATCGGGTAAAATTGACCACTGCGTCCAATGCTGCCCAAGATTACCCGCCACCCTGCCAATACAACAGCTAATCTCCCACTGTATTTGCAGTAGCTATCATTACCGTTATTAGAGTACAACGTTTTTGTGTACCAATTGATTTTATTTGAGATATTGTCCTTCTAGCCATCGTATGTCCTGTAGACTTTGCGTGCCCTTTGATTTGAAGTGCGCCTGAGATGGCTTATTTGAGCTGGCGCTTCTCTGACCCATTAAAGGTAATCGCATTATGATGATAATGATAACGATAATGACGCTGGTAATCATGACGAAGCGTTATTTCTCAATAGCTCTCATTTAGCTAAACTCACATTTAAGCCTGGCGGATTGTTCCAGTTTATTTTTCAGTTCTTTTTACTTCATTAAATACTGAGGTGCACATCAGAAAGAAATGCCCACAGGTTCTCTGTCTATGCCGGGCCCATCGTAAGGGTTATGCTAGCAGGTATAAGATAGTTGACTTCGTACGTTTAGATACGAAAAATTGAAACTCTGAGGGTTCGATACACGAAGCTGTCCGTTAAAAATAAATACAAAAAAAAATTCATTAGTTGTATAACAAGGACACAATTCTCTGTCTCGTTCCTCGGCTTCACTGCCCTTGTGCTAATACTGTTTACTTCTGCAGTGTTCTTCTAAGCACTCTAATATACTCTTCTATGCGAACAACTCGACCCTGGATTCGTTTTTGCTATTAGTACCTTTGCTTAGCGTGTGCCATGAACCTTGCTAAAGCGAAGTGGTAAAATCTTCTCGACGGAGAGCGCAACGCGCTGTACCTATGCGACCCCCAAAGGTCCTACACTTGGCCGTATTGCCAGCCAGCCTGGCAGCGACAACCAGAGGTACCAACTAGGTCCGGCCCATTCGATACCGCAGCTATCATATTTGGGTCAGTGAAAAAGGACAACAATGAGCAGCGGATGAAACAGTACTTGAATAACTAGTAAATTCCTTTATCTCCTCTGCGTTGGAACAACAGCATGATTTCAGGTAACCGCTTTCAGGTTACCTTTACCGTTGTCCTTTGGAAGTCGCAAAGTCAGCGGCGGCGGCGGCGACGACACTGGACAACGGGAAGGGCGGGACGTGTTGTATGATCCAGCCTCAAGCGACATGCCCTCGTACGAGGCGGCGCTTTGGTCTAATATCGTAAGAGCGGAAACAGTATCAACATCACGGCGAACGGCATTGCGGTTATGATGTTTAATATCTAATCAGTTACGCATAACTACGACAATAACGACAGCTGTTGAAAAACGCTTTAAAACAACCAAGCGAGATAATAGTAATACCAAAATACAAGAACAATAATACCGAGATCTAGTTAGTCAGGTGTCTTCGTTGTTGCTCGTCCTCTTTTACTGTGAGTCGCTACGACAGCGTAATGGCACCTTGCCGATCGTCTCAAAACCTCTCTGACAGGCCATTATACTTAGAATACAGTGAGAGAAGTAGTTCATCCGGCCTAAATGCAGCAAATGTAGAGAAAAGCAAGTTATTATTAAACTGCCTATCGTTTTTGGAACACACGCAGAACGACACGTCTGCTCAGCCATTGTTTTCGTGGTCTTGAACCTTCGTTGTCGTTATTACTATCTTTGTTACCGTTGACAGTTTTGGACCAGACGACATTCCTGTCACCGGATCTCCATGGTCGGGATACTGTCAACGGGATAAGAACGCTACCGGGAAAAACTTTCAAATAAGAAGGCGGTTGCCACCATGGACTTAAGCTGGCACGAACTTTCCTGAGTGAGGTACTGGTCAAACGGTATGGAAAGACTGGGCGTAAGGCGTGAAGTTGCGGACATGGGCAATCTAGTTATGAGCATTGCAACTGAGCGGGCACCTGAACCGATACTGGTTCTCCAGTCCAGCCAGTGACGAAATCAGTCTGGCCACTTACTCCTTCTATAAATCTTCAATGGTCTATAGTAACTGAATTAGTTTGGCATCGACACACACCCATAGCTGTGCCCAGTACCTTTCCTGGATTCTTATCGCTGAGTCGATACTGAGCATCAGCAGTCTCTTAGTTTCGCAAAAATCGATTTCAAATCGGTTGATGATACCCGACTGGATCAAGGCTGTACTGTAGTTAAAGGGAACCACTTCAATACTAACGTGTACAAAGACCCCTGCGCGCATTGACGTCTGGATGGTTTTCAAATCGGAACAGATTTATACGTTGCAACGGAGTCAAATCGATATGGCAGCTAAGCGAACAATCGCCTAGCGGATACATGTGGCTGGTAACCGCACACAACCTTGAAATACACGAAAGAGACAACAATCGAGGTGGGTACACGGCTGGTAACCGCACACAACCTTGAAATACACGAAAGAGACAACAATCGAGGTGGGTACACAAGTGGTTGGGATAGGCTTCTACTGAGGTCGACGGTACTAGTCGCAAAAGTAGTAGAACCTATTACCGTTGTGCTGGCCATAGTAAACGGAGGTTAAAGAAAGGTGGACCGACGACAAGCAAAATCAATTACGCTACTTTTGTCTGTCGATGCATATGTGCATTTGCACCCAATCCGTCAGAAGGAACACATTTCATTGTGTAGGATGCTACAGAGACGTGACCACCGCTGATCTCGGCGGACACGGAGTGTAGATGAGGGCTGCATTGGGCGCACGTCAATTCAACGAAGGGATGTGACGACGACAACGATTCTTATTTTTTCGGAGGAAGGTGACACGAGAAGGGGGTACTGTACAGGATGTCGAGGAAGCAGACATGTCCCCGAGCCTTACGCCGTTAGTGTGGACGGGATGTACGGGATTTATACCACATGAGCAATCAAGTGCTCTAGGCCAAGTGCGTCAGTTAAACGTGTATTCATTATACTTTTCGGATACCTGCGTTTTATCTCTTTTTCCACGCGAGCGTCTAGCGCTTCATCTATCCATAGTCGAGGAATGATATTGGTAGGCAATAATAGAGGAAACAAACGACAAGAACCTCGACAGTGTGTTCCTTAACCACTCGACGCTTATGAAGGGAACGTGTGAGTGTCGAATGGGTAGTCAGAATAAAAAAGCAGTGTAAAACACGCAAGAACTATTGGACGAAAATAGCGGATAGCAAGTCTAGCAGCTACGCGATAATGGTATCTCTTTTTTGTCGTGTGTCTATGTCCAATATAACAAATCCAACTAAGCCTATTAGTTCTCGTGATCTCCAGCGACAAATCTAGTCAATAAAGTCACCAAAATAAAATAATTCCTCAAATAGACCTTTCTAATGGAGCTGAATCAATAAAGCAATCATTATCATGTGCGACATTATTATTACTCAAGACATAAGGTTCCGACATTTTGGCTTTAATCGTTCAACGGACCCATATCCCAGCGAAATTGGTTTCACGAAGTATGAGGTAAAAAAAGAAGGTAGAGATAAAGTCTAACTTTGTCAGACTTGAACGGGTCATTTCTTGATTCATCTGTTTAATCTCTGGTCGTTCATTCATCTAAGTAAAACTCTTGCCCCCTACGGTGTTAATGTATGCGCTGGTTCGCCAGGCCAGCGACTACGCCTATCTATTGGTGCTGGTTGCGTATCCATAACACTAAACGTATGCCAGACGATGAATATTGTACACAAACAGACAGCCGACAGATCACAAGTTCTAAATGATCTCTGCTGAAACTAATCTATCAAATGCTTGTTGATTAGATGATCAAGCCGTTCTGTGGACATTATTCTGCAACACATTGATCATGTGGTGATGAAGTGAACGGCTACGATTGGAGTCAATATATGAATTGAAGATTCTACGCCTTAGAACCTACAAACCTGTTAGATCTTGGCTTCAATCCACAAGCGGCGTCGGTTCAATCTCGTCTTCTTGTGGGGTAGGTGTCTTGTGGTAGTATGAATCGACGTGTTTAGGGCTTTTACGACGAGTTGTACGTGCGTGAGGTGCGTGCCGTGAAAAGCTTTTGAGCACAACTGATACAAGCTGATGGCTCTCCTTCAAATCGAGGTCAGGCTCACTGTTCACACCTTGTCAGATCATATCGTACTACAACAGTAACAACAGTAGGTCAATGTCCCTAGTTAATAGCTTGTACGCCGATCTTTCCCATAAACGTCGCTTATGGGTTTCACTAACGAACACGCCTGTAATTTGTAGTGTAGTTAACACGACTTTTTAGTTATGGACGCTGCTCTTGTTAGCGTAAGTAACCTGGTATTATTATAGAAAACCAACCGTTTTCTATAGACCCTTTTTTCACGAGAGTATTCTTTTTTCGTTTAACGTTTGTGATCTTAGCGCTGTTTACTTAACATTAACGGCACTAACTTGTTGGTTAAATAAAAATGTCTGTGCTAGTTAAATTTCCTACCGAAAAGCAGAGCGGGTCGAGCCCTCATTAATGTTACGCCTGTTCTTGCTGTGATTCCGGGTTCGGTGTTTTGCTTTGCACTCAGCGGCAATTAACTACCGCATCTGTACAAATTATTAGCTTGTTCTATATGATAAAGTCAGGCACGGCGTATGTCTTTAGGCACACAATATATGGCCTAATCAAACAGTTGATTAAAATCAAACCTTAGTGGCGGAACTCTATTCTATTTAATCACTTTCACATCAGCATTTCGCGACACGTCACACTTCGACTTCACCCAGCTTCGTTTCGAATTCTCTCCTTTCTCACTGACCCCACGCGGAGTGAAGAGCGAGCCCTTATCACGGACGCCAGGAGTTCGACGGCTGCATCCACTGAAATGACGACGCCATCACCGCCAGTGGGCGACGGCCTGTTAAGGCATCCATATGTAATGAACGTTTAGAAATCTTACGAACTTTTCATGTTTTTGCTGCGTAATTGCGTCGCCGTAATCATCATCACCACCACCACCATCAAATCATGAGCATAATAACATCACTAATCGTTGTACAAGTTTTCCGCCATTAACACGGTAAACAATGATACGCAGCTCATGAGAGAGACGACATAGCTTTCCAGTCCCTTGGTTACAGTGCCGTCTGCCGTGTTATTCCGATTCCTTTTCCGCTTGCCTCGTTGTCTTCTGAGCAAAAATTGACCTTATTTTTTGTCTCTTTCGAACAGCGGCGTAACAAAATATCACTTGCCCATTTGTTTTTTACTATTTTACTGCAGCAGATACCAATATTTCGAGTTACTATGACTGCTATTTTTGTCTTCGTCGTTATGATTGCAGTCCTAGCTTTGTCGTGTGCTTAAGTGTACACCTTTCCTAAGCTCGTCCTTAAAAACTTTGCCACAATTTGTCGCTGTTGTTGCTTTTGTTGGTGTTGTTATGCAGTTACAGTAATCTCACTGTTTCATATAAGAACAGCACAACAAATTTATCTTGTCAATCAATCATTCATTAATCAATCAATTAAATCATACTAGAAAAACATCTCGCCGACCTTGTGACGCTATCTACTAGCAATTCACTCGCATATCGAAATCAGCTTGTTGTTGTAGTTCCGTCTACTGTTTTTTACCTTCTTAGCCTATAGAAAACTTTGCACGTTGCGAGTACGTCACATGGGTGCGCGACGTGCGTCCATCACAGGCCGGAGCCAGACTCACACTGGTAGGGACGATTTCTCACGATCACTGCTGACTCTCGGACGCACGCATAGATAGGCAGAAGGCACTAACGCTACACACAGACACACTGAGCATAGTCCAAACCAACCAAAAGACGTACACCTTACTTAGTCATCTGGACACAATCGGCGAGGCATCCGGCAGAGTGTCCGAGACCGGTGGAAAGGGCGGTGCGCGCGCAACCTTCGAATCACTATGTCGAGTCTGATCGCTCAGCCGGTCGCAAAGGAAAAAGGAGAACGAGATCGACGAACAGGGAAGGTCCTGTAGAGATGAAACACCTTTAACCGCAGCAGGCACGTAGCGGCGACGCAAAGAAACTCAATACACGCTGTACTATAGATAAAATTGTACGGAGGAAGCGCCCGACAACTGACGCGTGCTGACTCAAATATACTTCCCAAAGAAGTAGACGAACAAATCTCTATGGGTATAAATTAGACGAAGGTACATGTGCTTGTGCGTGGATTAATAGCGTGCTGTACAGATGAGCTACAATAGAGATGTTAACTAGGCGCAGTGGACTCTAAGCAAAGCTTTTATTTAAAGGAGTTTGATTGGTAATGTTGATTTGAGAGTGGATAAAAATGAACAGGAATCCTAGTCTATAGCTTCAAATGTACAAGCAACAAATCGAGTACGTTTAATCACCTCTCCGATCATGAAGGAAGCGATTGACTGGATTTCATACTAGGTGTTGAGGGTATGCATTTTCACAATGACGCATGAAAAGGAACCCTTTTAGGTTTAACGTTCCCAAAGTAACTACTTCACAGATCCTGATAAGATGTCGCTTTATATATTCGAATTCGGTGAGAACACTCAACACGGCTAATCCTACCCGGAATAAACAAGTGGTGTCCTACTGTTGTAATAGAAGGGATAGATCAAAAGAGAAAAGAATTGCAAGTACTCAAATAGCCATCTGTCTATCCACCCATCAGGCTGCTTTCGAATGAGGCGCTGAGTCATCTGCATGGCCAGATATTAGCGACGAAGGAACATGAGTTAAGTTAGAGAGGATCTAACAAGGTATACGGCATTCGTCAACTTTCCTTTTAAGTATGGTATAGTTCGATTGAATATTTAAATGTTTTCCTCATAACGCTCCTCAGTGGAACTATAGGAGAAAGAGTCTCGATGCGGAAAAGCTTTAACAGCAACCAGCGAATAGCACTCACTGTAACTTCAAACGATCTGTGTCACTTCAACCACAATTAGAACCACAACTATAATAGAGAAAGTCATCTTTTTTACAACCTTGTTTTAGAAACCTTAAAATAGGCTCTGCGTATTTTATATTCTATTTAATAAAATATTCTCGAATAAGAAATATATAACGATATACGAAATAGAGCAACCGTTTTTTGTAAATCTGAAAAAGGTTACTTGACGAAAATATACCGTATATATATATTTATGCGATATATATGCAGGGTAAACTAAAAATCATTCAAAAATTTCTTCAGCACTTCAGAAGACTTGTTCCAAGTCTCAACGCAAACACCAGCTGTAAAGAGATTTTTGAATAATTCCGCGTAATTGTATAGATGTGAGAGTCGAGGCAAAGTTCTATTGAATCTGACGAAGATCACTTAACGATCTCTGGTACGCATAACTCTTAATAGTCTTAGTATGCATAGAGACTATATGACGACTTTCCCTGGAAGAATTTTCCCTGGGACTTACGCAGCCCAGTTTTATCTATCCTCCCGTACTAGCTCCCGTACAGCACTTTCGTTAAGTCTATACGTTTAAATATAGATGTTGCAGACGCTTTCGCTTCTTCGAAGCTCTCGATAATCGGAACCAAGCGGTGTTATTTGTTTCAAAATGGGTAATCTGTTACGGATCAACTTTCCTTCTATACCGAAGCTGATCCAAGGGTTTTGTAAGCATGTCAAATATCCCCTTGCCATGCAGGTGATAAAAGGTGGAATTAATTTTAGACTAAAGCGTAGTAAAACGTCGAACTGGAAGGAATCAGCAAGGAACAAACTTCAATTATGTGTTTGCTGGATCAACAAAACGTTGCTAGAATTCAGGGGCCATATTATGTGCAACAAAGGAAAAAAATATTCTGTATAGACTGAAAGAATTTCATATGTATAAAACCATACGTCTTCGAGGTACCAGACGTGTTATTACTAAACGCAGCAAAATGGCGAGGATTACGGTTATATAGTTACAAATGAGAATACCACCCTCTTTCTCTCGTACTTTTGGTGAATGTCTATTCAGGAGACTTCACGGCGCTTTTGACGACCAAGTCTTTGCAATAAAGGGTCAAGGCAAAGATACCACATATTATTTTTTCGAGCCTTAAAATGAACGTTCCTGTAACTGCAAGGCGAATTGATTGCCCAATAGATAGTCAGAAACCATATTTGCCGCGAGTCATCATTTATGTTAAAAAAAGAACGCTTGTACGGGTAATGCATGATAGAAGCAGTGGTGTGTGTATATATATTCTAGGTAGACGTGGTGCAGGTGAGGTCACGAAGGGTTGTTTAGCATCAAATGAAAAACAGTTAGTCGACCGCGATGGTACAGTGGTAACATATTTCCCAACTAAACATCGAAACATGTGAGGTGGTCTGGGATCAAAATGAGATATAGACACAGCATTTGTTCGTGCTAGAAGGAACTAGCCGTCTGGAGCAACGTGTAACTGAGGACGCACTGGTCGCAAAGCTCGACGCCGGTTGCGGAGTGGCATAGCGCGTCGGGCCGACTTTCGAAATGGGAGAAATGAAATGGAAGTGACAAAAACGCTGCTGAAGAAAGTACGGAAAAGTTCGAAGCTCCCTTCACTAATTTTTTGGAGCAATATATTATAATTATTGCTCGATCGATTTTTTCGTTGAATCCCGTGGTTTGCGCAGCGTCTTACAAATGAACTCTGCAGTTAAAATCCGTCATCCCGGAATCGCGCCTTTGAGACACTTCGAGACTGGGGTGTCCATGACTTGTCGGCGGTGACATGACTTTAGCTACATGAGCGTGATGCGAAGCTCGGCTGTTTGAGAGGTTCCCACAACCCCTACCGCCCACTATTTGAAGTACTCGTAGAAAACGTGAGATAAAAGACTTCCATACCCCAGATAAAACGCCTCATAATGGACTACGTGTTAGAGCCACCGAATGCATATGGGACCATTCTGCACGCCGGTCTAATATAGGGCTGAAGTTTTCTAATACTCATATATATATATATATATATATATATATATATATATATATATATATATATATATATGTATATGGAGTAAGAGCGCGTGTATATAAAAGGTAAATGCAAATAAATGAATACAGTTATGGCTAAACACTCGTCAAGATCGAGCTTTCTATGATTTACACGTCACATTTAGATGGACAGGGTGTTCATGTATATTCTTATATCATTATACTAAGACAGTTCAGACTTATTACAACTTAATATGGCAGTACGTATATTTATACTTATCTATTCCTCATATTATGGATTCGGGAGAATATTACCAGGGCTACCGTGTGTATAAAATCAGTGTCTAATCCTAGGATAGGGGCGTTAGTGATGTTAAAAATGAACAGGAATAGCCGATTCGTATAACTCATCTATTTATGATGAGTGGTCAATCAATTAGAATTACTCAACCTGTAACGTACCCGCCAATGCTTCTTTCCCAGGGGAGTACAGGAGGCTCATATATTTTGTACAATCTTCCAAGCATTTCATAAAATGACGCAAAAAAAATTAATGAAAAACGCATTTACTTCGTTTCCATACGGTTCATAAACTACTATGGTGCATTGACATACAAAGAGATTCAACATCATCAGCTTTTTGCATGCTGAGCTGACGCTTTTTTTTTTTATCCTTTGTTGCTTTTATATTGAGTTTCTTAACACTCTATAATATGTCGGTATCTAATTTTATGACACTTAGAAATATATTATTTTTTGCAGGGTAGTAAGCTACATACATTTAACCTATGGTGTGTCCCTATTTACCTTTTGAACACGGTCTGCCAGAATAGAAGATACTCACTGAAAGGATATCGAAACGGAGAGCTAAAGGGTTTTGGCCTGTTAGAAAAAAGTTGTCGTATTATTAGTCACATAATTTTATCATATTTATTATTCTACCTCAAGTACAGTCACACGTACTGCCGAGAAAAGCTCTCATAATAGACAGAAATATCACTTAGTTTCCGAAAAATGTTAGCCGACAGGTGCCCATTATGTAAACGATTGAAGGTATCGTAAAGGTATCAAGGCGTTATACTGGGCCTTACAGCAACGACTGAAAAGGCTCGGAAGCGTAACTGACATCTTGAAACAATGTCGAATAGGTAGATAAAGCGTAGCCTTCTTTTCATGTCTATCTCTACACATAGCCATAGAGCTCTTCTGTCTATAGCACATACGAAGCAAATGGCGAAAAAGTTTGTCAGCCACATTACGCGATCGTCGAACGCTACCTCTAAGGGCCAAACGACAGATACTGGTGAAAATAAACTCTTTGTAAATACCCTCTGCTGTTTTCTACGTTTCGTTTGGAAGAAACATTTTGATTTCACCTTCCTGTGCCTCTTTGATCCTCGCTTGAGCGCATTTTTCCTTTGTCCTGCCGTATCAACTCCGTAAGGCGTGAGAAATATGCGCTTCTTTCTTCATGTCGCTGACGCCCGAGACGAACTCTGGCGATATTTCAGACTATACACGCTTGCTGGGGTTACTGGGATATGAACGACTAACCGAAAATTCTCGAAAGTAAAACTCCATGCACCCGGACGAATATATTCAAAAGCACTGAAAGACGAGATCACAGTAGAAGAGGCGGGTACGGACAAAACGACCTAACGGCTCTCAATTCAAAGTCCGCCCCTTTGGTGTTAGCCCCATCCCTGGAGGTCTCCCAGCAAGCAGTAGAGCTTCGTTGCGCTTGACCGCTCGATGCCCAATTTCTACCTACAGATTTTGACAAAGCCCACTTTCGGGATATAGAATCGTTGTACGAAAACCGGACGAGGAAAGGAAATTTGAGGCGCTCTCGATGGCGAAAACGAGGAACCCCTTATTCCGCTTACGCAGTAGGATGTAGACTGTAGTTGACCGTAA